CATTGATTTTGTACACTCTTGGTTGACACTTTGATAAATGTCAAAAATTGATTGGATTGAAAAATAAGATTTTTTTAAATTGGCAAATCACTATTTGCCATATGGATGAATGTAAGCAATGGTGTACACGAAAGATGAATTTTTTTTGATTTATGTGTTGTTGAGTTTTGATACCTAATGAATCCCGGGATATAATATAAACGTTGGATTAAATTGTTACCAACAATCAAGTCCAAATGCTCAATCCGAAAACAACGTGGACCATTGGAAGTAATTTAAACAATTAATGGCTTTGAATCTTGGCTCATTTAAGCCTTTTATTGGTCCAACTAAAGCCCAAGATAGCCTATATATATATGGTGTTTTTGCCCTAGTTGTTTTGTGTGTGATTTGTGTGTTAAAAGAAGAAAAATCGGTAGCTTGTTTGGAGAAAAAAATCGGCGGCTTTTTTTTGTTTTGACCTCCATATCGTGTTTCTTCCATTATTTTTCTCGTGCATTGTGGCTTACAAATCATTAGCATTAGCTTGTTCTTTGTACGTGAGATTGAGGAGCAACCGATGTGAATATATATTGGTTGTGGGTTAGAGTTGAATTGGTTGTTTGGTAGATAAAGGTAACATAAAATTGAACCCGGAAAATACCATTTTGACGATCCTTGGAGCAACCTTCCGCGAAATGTGTAATATTATTTTATAAAAGAGTTTGTGGTTGAAAATGAATTTTGAAAAAATGAGAGCCAAACGTGGACTAATTTTCACTATGGAGGTGGAGGGGTGTAGATGGCACCCTTTTGGTTTGTGCACATAGGAGCTCTGACGAAATCTTGTATAAATCTTCATCCACCGCCTAGGGCGGTAGTCTTGGTAATGGCGCTACCATAATAGGAGATTTATGTCACTGTCATAATCACACACTACACATGCCGCTGCTTCTTTTTGGATTAATCTATTCGTACAATTGTCCTTGACAATGATGGATGACAACATTAATGTTGTCAAAATTCGGATCATTAATTTTAAAAATATTTTTTGAAATAGATGAATATGATTTTGACAAATATGATTGTCAACCAACATTGTATGAAAATGTTGTACACCTAGTATGATTCTTCCTTTTTTGCTTCTGTTTCTTGAGGATATCCTACTTTTGCCCGCACTATTAAACGTACACCTATTACTATACATACCATAACACAATCAAAACTTCGTAAAGACAACCAAAATCAGAAAAGAGTTACTTACTGGGCTGCGAAGAATAGCAATCATAACCGGAGTAACAATATCATTCTCATACAAATCACCGACGAAGTACAAATCCGGATTTTCATCAGAGTAGCTATACCTGAAAACCCCAGCTTGCCTTGCATATTCAAAGCATTGTGTAAAATGGAAGATCGTCATTGTAAAATGGATTTGTTTCAATGACTATGAAATTCAATGGGTTCAATCTAATTCAAGACAATCATAACAATAAAAAAAAAAGATGGATAGGGGGTTTAGTAGAAGATACCGTTTATAGCGGGATAGATTTATAAAAGTGATATGGATATATAGTATTTAAATGAATAAATTTATTCAGGATAATGATTGAAATTTAATGTGGATGATTATAGTATTTTTATTTTTTAAGATTTTAATAGAGATAGATTTAAAGCGATATACATATATAAAAACAGTGAATAAATCCCTCTTTCTTTCTTTCCTTTTTTTTTTTATTTAATTAGGGTCGACCCTACATCCATAATATTTCAAGAGGAGGTCGTGTATTCGTTAATTGGTGGATTTGAAAAAAGTGACGTATTACTCTAAATTTAATGCTCAAGAACATATCAAACTACAAAAAAATGATCAATCAAGACTTGAAATAGATGCGATTTTACTAATAAAATTGACCAAATGGAATAATTCACGAAATTGGAAAATCGCTATGCATCTAGAGTATATATAACCATCAGTCTATTTGACAATGAGTTACTATCATATTATTCAATAAGATCTAAATGCATTTTGGACATTGAAAAATGTTGCCGTTATTCCACTATCGCATAAATCTATGAAAATCTAGAATCTAAATAAATATCATTACTCATAAAATTGTATATTTTTCCATTTGTTGGCCTATAATGATGTAGATTTATGGTAGCGTAATAAAGTATGAAATTACTTAAATGTATATTATAAAGGGAAAAATGAAAAGCCAAAGTAAAGTCTATTAATCAAGCATTATACCATATACGTTTAGCGTTTGTTTGGATTTCATTTACAGTTTTTAAAAAAATGAGTAATGGATAAATGTGTAGTATTTGTGAATCCTATAAAATGTATTTAAAATTAATGTTTGACATTAAAAAGAAAATAAAACTTAAAAGATACTCATTAAAAAGTACAGTTATTCCTCAAGTACATGAATAACTCACGGAATTTTGACAGAATTTTGAATTTCCTGCATCCTGTCCGTCCTTGTGTATTTTCTCTCTTCACATCTTTGAATCTATTCCCTCCATTTTAAAAATTCTGTATAATTATTCTGTACTTGTAGCAAGATTCATTTAAAACTATTGAAAAACAAATACAACACGTAAGTCATACAAAAATGGAATTTTAAAGGGAAAAGGGCTAAAAATCCAACTCTCCATTTTCAAATTTCCCCAAAAAAATATTTAAAAAACATGAACGCATGCATTACAAATCATTTGTTCCCTAAACCTCACCCCTCCCACTTTTCTTCCATGCAAAGAATGGCAATTCATTAACCTAAGCTTCACCTGCATCCACGATGAAGTATGCAGTATTGAACAGAACTCGACAATTCAGTACTGTCCAATCCAACACGGAATTGCTTAGGTTTGTAATCACCACTCTCTCTTCATCTCTGATCTATTGTGGGTACGAAGAAAGAAAAGGAGAAAAATATTTACAACTTACGAAAACACCTTTGAAATTAATGCTAATGTAGATAAAATTCCAATAATATCAAGTTAATGCAGCGAATCCACCCCCTCTCATCATCTGCTTAAACTCGTGAAAATTCACCATGCCATCACCATCCACATCCACCTTCGTTATCATCTTCTTGCAATCCTCTGCGGTTCTCCCTTGGTTGAGCCCCATTGATGCCAATACCGATTTCAGCTCATCAACGGTGATAAACCCATCACCGTTTTGATCAAAAACATTGAACGCCTCTCTCATGTCCTCGTCCTCATCGCGCTCTTCCATGATGGTTTGGTACAGTCCACCAAATTCATCAATGTCGACGCATCCATCTCCATTTACATCGATTTTTTGTATCATCAGAGTCAGCTCAGGGTCCGGGATAAAGATTCCCATGTTCTCTAAGGAATCGTTCATTTCCTTTTTCGTGATCCTGCCATCCCCANCAGTTGGGATGTCAGAATTTTAGCAGCTCGTGAGATGCCTTTCACATTTGCAGAATATCAGTATTTTGAAGAGTTCCTGCAAAAATACATTCTAGCTTCTTACAGGAGCGTAAGTAGAAATACTGCTCGTTCTGATTCTATAAAATTATTTCATACAATGGCTGAGAATTTAAAAAATGATTTTAAAAACATTGATAGAATTATGTGTTTTACGTCTGATTGTTGGTTTGGACGAAATCATAATGGTTATGCTTGTGTTCCAGCATATTTCATTGATAAATCTTAAAGTTCATGAAGATTGATTGATTGTGATGTACTTAAATTATAAATTATAGTAAAAGTACGTGCCAATCTAGTTGGGGTGTACTTTGCTATAAATATATACCTTCACGTAATTAGAAATGCATTTAGATGTTAAATTTCAATTATTAAATTTGAATTCTATGTAAACATTTCTTGATATAAATATGAATTGACCCGCGACCCGGATGGGTCAGCAGGCGGGTTTGTGTTGTAATCCAAAAATTGTGGGCCGACCCGAAACCGGCCCGGAACCCGTAGCAGGCTGGCTTTTTTTTACGCAGGTCGTTACCGGGCTCAGATGTTGGTGGGCCAACCCGGCCCGACCCACCCGGATTGACACGTACACATCTAACATAGTCATGTGTGTCATCGCCTATTTAGATATATTTCATTGATTGGGAAGTTCGACAATGCAGATCGCAATGACACATAGGTCTTAGATTGTGCCTTAGGTTATCATTACTTCTTTTTTCCCTGTTTGGTTGTAATGAACGAATGTTGCCATCATAGAGGACACTCTTCTACTTGCATCTAGGGATATCAACTTGCTTCATCGGCTACTCGTGGCTCGACCCGACTCAACTCGCATTGAGGCAAGGCTCTGAACAAGCCCCATTTTGTGGCATCGGCCCGAGCTCGAGCCAACCTGTGTAACTCAGGCTAGCTCGTGTCACGAGCCATTTTCAACTCGTAATGAGCCGGGTCTTAAAAAAATAAAAATAAAAATCAGGCAACTATGTGTACATATTGCCTTGGGCAGCTACTTGTAGCACATCAACTAAGCATAAAAAATCATGTTATAAAAAAACTAAAATATCGTGAACCGACTCGGCAGGATAAGGCTCAAGTCAAAAGCTCGGGTCGAGCCTAAATTTTTTAGCTGAGAAAAGTTTGGCTCCAAAAAAAGTCTGAACCATTTTTACTCGAGTTCAGCCTGAATCTCGAGTTTCAACTCGTGAGCCAACTCGAATCGTGACATCGTAGTCGCATCATGATGATGTTCTCAAATGACATCTCACATAGTTCGACCTAAGAAGGGTATAGTAGGTCGACCTAATATGATGACCTGTTTCTATTTTCCTCACAAATAAGCTCCATTGATTATTTCAAAATAGACCCACTAGTGATCCAACATGAATTTATACCCACATTTTTTCATAACTCAATTGCAAGCTCAAGCTTATATCTTTAATTGAATCAAAGACAAAATTAGAGGCAGAAAAAGGAAAATTAGGTTCCACTAATGCCCGCCGACCGACAATCATAAATGCATACTATCCAAACACTGCCCTACTTACCCAGTTAGTACAGTTTTGATGGATAATCGATTATTAGGTATTAGATAAAAAATAATCACTTTTTGCAAGCAGACTCGCTTTCAGTGTCGTTTCTCAGATTCTCTCTTTCTCTCCCTTCAATTGGATAACAGAGAGCTCTCCTCTTACCTTCTTTGAGGTTTTTCATCAATCAGGTACCTGTTCGCATGCTAATTTATTGTTTATTTAATAAAATATGTATTATCTGATGTATGTATATGCTGTATGGTGTGTTGATTATATGCTGTTGGTTATTCATCAGATTGTTCCATTTTTAGCTGGTTTTCTAATATGCTGTTGCGAAGACCTATTGCGAATTCGATTTGTTTCGCTTCTTCATCTAAGTATCTGCTTGATATTGGTTTCTTTAAAATTAAAAAAAAAATAAAAAAATAAATTGGTATGATTTTTTGCAACCGATGGTTGGTTATCACCTTTCTTATTATGAATTTCACTATGACGGAACCTAAATTTGATTTTTAAAAGAATTAAGGTTTGCATTTTTGTAGCATAGGATTGAAGCCTCAGAATTGGAATCAGAAGTGATTGCATTCATAGTTTGGATATAGTAATCTTGAATTCATGTTCATGTGTACCACTTTTATTCTGCCAAAGATTATCTCTTATGCTTGTGGTATCAATTTTAGTATAAACCACACAAGCTTACAGAAATGATCCAACGAGATTTAGAATGAAAGAAACTATGTATAAGGACAATGCAATTGAAAATTGACCAAAAATTAGTGGAAAAAAAAAAGATTTGCTATAACTTAAACAAAACAGAGATAATCTTTCTATCTTCTTTCGGAACCTTCTCATTTCTCTCCTTCTCCCTCTCTCTCATCATTTCAGATAAGAAATGTGATCCCTAAATATATGAAACTCACATAGCCATTTTTTGAAGAGAAGGTTTCCTTGATAAACGATAGTTTTTGTGTGTTCTAGATAGGTTAATTAGCTACTGCCGGTTATTCCAATGTTTTTTCTGTGTAAAATCCTTGTATGTCTGTCAATTTTCTTGTTCTTGTTTGTTAAGTTACCTGGTAGTAATACATGATCATCTGAATGGTTTAGGTCATACTGGTATATACTCACTGGTTTTGATAGCTATTAGGATGAATAGCTTTCTTTTAACCTTAATTCTAGCTGCAAAAAGGTTATTTTAAGGGGAAGATATATAAGCTAGTAAAACGTTCACTTCTTTATTAGCTGTTTAGAGGAGGATCATGGTGAATTACAATGGAAGATCATGCTTGAATGGGTTATTATTATATTAGGTACTTAGACTCTATTATTGACAAGAAGAAATACAATACTCAATGGGAACGTAAGCATAGGATCAAAGCAACTTGGATGGTACAATAGTACTCTGGGGATTCTGAGTAATTGTAAAAGACAAAATGCCTACAAGATGAACATAACATAAATTAGAATATACAAGAAATGAAGATATAGTGGACCACTGAAGGTGACACTAGTGGAGGATATGGCAAGGCAAAGACAACCTAGATATTGGGGCATGTTTTGTATGGACATAAAAATGTTCCCATTCAAAACAATTATGCATTATCAATAGAAAATGTTATTGGAGGGAGAGGTGGAACACACTTGACATGGTTTAATATTGCTGCAAAAGATTTAGCAAATAAAGTGTAATAAGGCTTAGATTGCTGAACTGTAATACTTCTTATCATATGTATAGGGGCAATGATTAAGCTGTTTAAAGTAAAGGAAAAGCAGAGAGAACTTGCTGCAAATGCCAGTGGGAAACCTCCTGTCAAGAAGCAAAGTGCTGGAGAATTACGTCTTCATAAAGGTATTATAATCAGTATTTATGAATGTTTGGACTTTTCCTTTTTGTTTCTTGTTACAGATACATCTATCATTTTTTTCCTGTTTTTGTTTCCGACTTTTTTATCCATAGAGCTTTGCCATTTAGTGATTGAATAATTATATATAACAGAAGTTTTAATTCTTGCGCACCTAAGAGAGAAATAAAATACATAGAGAGATAGAATCTGTTGCTGATATCCTTATGATGGATCTCATATAGTTGAAAATTAATATAATGTGCACTAGTTACCGAAATCATAATCAATTTAGCTTCTGTTTATGGTATAAATATCATATTTTCATTCCTATGAACGAATGAACAGGAAAAGAAAAATGAACCTTAATAACTTGAAATGGAGGTAATAAACAAGAATGTCCTCCTTTTGTATTTATCCAGGTAAGGTTATAAGTCTCCCTCCCTTCTGTATCTGGATTTATTTAATGTATAGGTAGGATTTTATGCTCTCGCACCCACCCCAAGGCACTGACGAAGTTTTAAAAAGACTTGGAAGGGAATTGGAAGCGTGGAGATGTCAAAAAAATGCTATGAATCTACGATGGACTCTGGGCTTGGATACTTGTCAGCACAATGCATCATTTGTCCGGCTTTTCTTTCTAATCGTGTTTTTGGCAGATATTTAATTCTTGCAACAAACAAATATCGAACATCCCTGTCTAATCTCATTATTACATATATTATTATACTTGCTGGATGCTGTTCAGCACGTGCATATTCTACATTCAATGCAATTTATTAATGGACTTCGAAACATTGAAACTACTTTCTCATTATGTGGTAGAGAAAAAGTTTTATCACTTTTGTCTTCCTATGAGGTTGCTTTCATATAAGACTTGTCTGAATATCTTACTGGCAAAGAATAATAGGATGGTCGCTTTATATATGTAGGTGTAATTATCACTTATCAATATAAAGAAGCATAGTTACAGGTTACACGAATTGTACTTGGGGATTCAAAATGGCCCTGTGATACACACTGTCAGATAATATTTGCGAATTACTGAGTAGTTGCAGTGGTTACGCGTAAACCATCAGTTTATTCTTTGTTTTTTCAATCCTAATTTTTATCTGAGTGCCATGCTCTAGAGGATGTGAAATAGTTTAGTTTTCAATCTACAATAGCTTCTTTTTTTGTGTGTTCATTTTCATAGTGGGTCTCCAGTTCGGGTAAAGAAAGCAAGCATAAAATTTTTTAAACTCTTGTGCCATGAATCCTGTGCACATTGCAGTGAGGTCTCCCCTACTAACAATGCAGTGTAGCAATGAACGCAATGGAGTGAGAAAAAGGATTCAGGTAGTTGAGCCCAAAAATAGTTGGGGCAAGACTTAATTTATTATTCTAATTGTGTTGTATTTCTTTTCGTGATTAAAGTTCCTGCTAACAAATGCTTAAGGAAACATTACGGATAACTGCTACCCTCTATGACCAAAAGTTAAAATGTTTTGTCTATCATGCACAAGTTAAGATAGAGGTTCATAGGTGAATATTACACTATAGGATTGCAGTCTCATTGAACAAGATTTTCACTTGGACAAGGGCAATGTAAGTTAGAAGAAAAGCAACAGTAGTATATATAGGAAATACTATCTATGTAACACCTAATACTTGTGGATGCATATAAGAATCTTTTCTCCGTGTTTTTGTTTTTTGCTAATACTATATAAAATTTATACTTTGGAAGGAATTTTGGTGATTGCAAATTTTTTTGAAGCGAGTTTATGTTACTCTACCTTTCCATCAAAAATTACTTCCCAGAGAGAACATTTTCTTACTTTTTAGGCAATTTAGAGCTTTATTTGTAAATGGGACTAATCAGAGATTACAGCAGACTTGGCAGGCAAATTCTTCTTTAAAACAAGTCTATGAAGCATACCTAACAAGCAGCTGGAAAAAATCTACAATTTGTTATTTACTTTTCTCTAAGTGGCACTTAAGCTTCTTTGAATTTTTCCTTTTTGCTTTGGTGAGGGTTGGTGAGGGGATTTTTTCATACGCCTTCATTTATATTGCTTGGAGTTAAGTAATAATATCATTTATTTTCAACTTTTTGGTGTTGTAGATGTAAGTGAACTAAATCTGCCAAAAACATGTAGCATATCATTCCCTGAGGGAAAGGATGACCTCATGAACTTTGAAGTTACCATTCAGCCTGATGAAGGATACTATTTGTAAGTATTTATTTCCGGGTTATATTCTGGGAACTCTTACTTCAGAAATAGAATTCTAATACCAACCATTTTGGTCATGATATATTTTGCTTATTCATTATGTTTTATTATCTCATTCAATTGTCTTGTTTCAGGGGTGGTGCATTTGTTTTCTCTTTCCAAATTTCTCCCATCTATCCTCATGAAGCGCCAAAGGTCAAATGCAAAACAAAGGTCCATGACACTCAGGCTTCTAATCTATAATGATCATTTTATTAACTAGTGTGAATCTCTGTTAATGTTTGGTAAACATTGTTGGTATTTATACCAAGTTTGAAAATAACTCCTACCTTATCTTGAAAATAAATATCTTACCTTATTTCCAACTTTAATCAACAGTAAATATTATTTATTTTAAAACTTATTTACTTACATGTAAACATGCTCTTAATCTTGCTCATTGCAGGTCTACCATCCTAACATTGACTTGGAAGGAAATGTCTGCCTAAACATTCTTCGAGAAGACTGGAAACCTGTGCTAAATATAAACACCATTATTTATGGCCTGTATCACCTTTTTACGGTATGTCTACGTCCTCTAGTGTACATTATTTATAATCAGTGGCTTTTAAAGGTAAAACACGGTCACTTAACTCAGGCAAGATTATTTTTGTCACCAAATTTTTTATTTGGTGAGCAAGTGTTTTCAAATCTTCTAATGGTGGAGCTTGTGTTTATGTAGGAACCCAATCACGAGGATCCTCTCAATCCCGATGCAGCTTCCGTGTTGAGAGAGAACCCAAAATTGTTTGAATCCAACGTGAGAAGGGCAATGTTTGGCGGCTATGTGGGACAAACATTCTTCCCTCGTTGCATATAGTGTAAATGCTGCACCAACTTGGGTAAGCTAACCCCACCCTTGAAGAGTGAGTCTTTATCTTCATCCATGTGGCTTACATTGAAGATGCTATAAGTTCTGAATTCTGTAAATTTGGATGCACATCTATGTTCGGTCTTCAGGACATATTTGACGAAGTTTCTCTCAGGAATTCATCTGTAATTGTGTGCTTTATTTCTGTTATTTATGATCATGTAACATATCGAAATCAAACCTCATTTATGAGAAAATATGATGCTGAGTGCTGTTGCTCTATTATTGCCATTGTTTTTGATTCGTCGCGTGCATCTACTAGCAGCATTTTTTTTAGTTCGTCCTTGTATCTATATAATGACTATTGTATAGATACATTGTCTCTATTTAAAATCTCTAAATTTCATCTTTCTCTAGCCTTTCCTCCCCAGTAGTCCCCCCCCCCCCCCCCCCCCTACATACATATATGTATGTATGTATGTATGAGGATGAGATGCTAAGGAGGATAAGATATGAAAGATAAAGATGAAATATGAGATAGAAAAGTGCTTTACGTACAGAAGCACAGTCCACAGAAATGCAACATAACACTCACAAACAGTGGGGCCCGCACAATTTATTTATTTTATTAAATACACAGTAAGACCCACTGATTGTCTCTATTCTTGTGAAATTCTGTGTATATAAAGTAGAATGAGTAATGCCCTGTGTGAGGGTAATGCCCCTTTGTGAGGGGCTTGTAAGGCTCCTGTGAAAGTAATGCCATGTACAAAGGGCATTATTCAAGTAGAATGGATCAAAATAGTAAAAGTAATATACAATCCAAAGTGTTGGCATAAAAGTCAAAAATTGTAACAATGCACAATCCTATAATTTGACAGTTCATTTCAATTAATGTACGGTCTTAAAAATTCGAAAACTAATGCTCAAATATTGTTCCGATTAATGTTATTTATAATGGGTGACTATCGTGGTCATCCTATGTAACATGCATTTAATCACTTAATCATCCATAGTGAACATTATTGATAAAGAAATCATGTGATTAACTGTGGTAATTGCTCGCTGTGAATAACATTATTATATTTTTCCCACGTTTTCCCTCCTAAACATTATTTCATATTGAGGTCACCACACCCCCCCCCCCCCCCCCCCCCCCCCGACCCCAATGCAGCTTCCTTCCACGCTTACGGAGGATCATGAAGCAAAGCAACATGTCTATTGCCCAGAGGTTCGAGAAATATGGAGTAAAATTGCAGCAACCTTGGAATTTGATTTTTTTTTTGTTGGACTGTTGAGCTGAAAAAAAGAAAAGTATAAATTTTGATTTGGAGCCAAACAGAAAGAGGTGGGTTCATTGCAGCACATGGGGACCAAGTTGCTGACATAGCAAAAAATTCGATTCAAAACACCAGGAGACAAACCTACTCCAATTCTGCCAGAAATAACTTCTTTTGTCACAGCATATGACATCTGATTTTCTAGCAGCCTTATATTTCTTTTCGTTTTATTAGTTAAGTATAATTCGAGTTGTGCCAAGCAAAGAAATTGATTTTCTTGAACTCGATGAGAAAAGAAAAGCGAAGATCGCTACGCATCTTGGTAATAGTGTACTCTTGATGAGTAATGAGTATCTCTAAAATGTACGTTTACTTTAAAATGTACAAAATAATAGAGGTAATGTTTTAATCGAACTCTTCATTTATGAGAGGAGAAAGATGCAAATAGAACTAAGGCCATGTTTGATTGTCACAAATGTCACATCCGAGGAAAACGAATTCTACTTTGATCGTTTGATTGCGACGTGGAAATTGAATTCCTTTTTCAAGATACATCCACTTTAAACTGTATTTTCTTTGTTTTCATGGAAAACGATTCGATTTTCTATGAATTTGATAGGTTTTTATTTTCTAACTAACATGAAATTGGATTTTATTTTCACATTTGTCTATCAAACGGACCCTACCCTAAGTATTAATAAAAGGAAAAATTAATTAAAAAAACATCCTGCATTTTTTTCCTTGTCGTGTTTGGCCACCCTTGTCTGAGTACAGCAATTGCATTTATTTTTACACTTGTAATTACGACGCGGTAGCAAATGATAAACACTTGTAATTACGACGCGGTAGCAAATGATAAACACACGGTTAATCTTGACCATCTTTTCTTCCGAATTCTCTTAAAAGATCGATTCGTCGAGTGGGTCCAGTCTACTCCATCGCCACTCACATAAGAAGTTTCAGTACATTGCTTACACCCTATACTTCCTCTTCAAATAACTTTATTTGTCGAAAGACATGCACGCTAATGCAGTAGAGACAGATTCTTCCACACTACTGTTGAAAGCGTATTCCTCGTGACCCCCAACCCCACCCCACCCCATATGACATACACACAACACATGGAACTACCCATATATGTATCTGCTTATAGGAGAGAGAAGGAGGAAAAGTTGCATATTTTTGTGCTTTAGGACAAAAGAACCAAGAAAATGAGCTGGGAAGGTAGAGGAGGATCAACAGCATCATCATCCGCAGCTGACGGTGGCGGAGGTGGTGGGAGGAGGAAGCCATCTTGGCGAGAGAGAGAGAACAACAGGAGGAGAGAGAGGAGAAGAAGAGCAATAGCATCAAAAATATACAGAGGGTTAAGAGCACAGGGGAATTACAATCTGCCAAAACACTCTGACAATAATCAAGTATTGAAAGCTCTATGTAATGAGGCTGGTTGGATTGTTGAGCCTGATGGCACCACCTATCGCAATGTAAAATCTTTTCACTTTTTTTTTTTTTGCTTTAAATCTTCTTCATTTTATTTTTACATTTTGGTCTATCTTGATCAGGTAATTTTGTTTTTATTTTATTTTTGGTTTTGCTTGCATTTGTTTAAATTCATAGATTTAGATGTGAATTTTTTTTTTTTTTTAATCTAGTTTATGTATTTTATCTAGAGGAACTTTTTTAAGGGAAGAAAAAAAATAAACTGGGGAGTTCATATTGGTTTTGAATATTTAGATTTCAACAATCGAATGTGTGGATGAATATTTAGCGGTTGAATCTATAGACGAAAAATGATTTGCATAGTCGACCTCAAATTTATTAGTCTAATAATTGACATTTCATGGATGATAGTCTAATATGAGTTGATTGTGATGTAGGGATTCAAACCACCTCCAATGGAAATGGGAGGCACTTCAACAAACATTACACCAATCTCTTCAAGAAATCCAAGTCCACCATCTTCATATTTCGCAAGTCCGATTCCTTCGTACCAACCAAACCCGTCATCATCTTCGTTTCCGAGCCAATCCTGGCTCAGTGCTAACACGTCGTTACCCTCGTTTGCGTTCCTACATAATTCCATCCCTTCATCTCTCCCACCTCTCCGAATATCAAATAGTGCTCCCGTAACCCCACCTCTGTCATCCCCGACTAGACTCCCTAACCAATCTTTCGATTTCGAGTCTCTTCCCAAAGAATCCATGGCTGCCTTGAACATTCCATTCTTCGCCACATCAGCCCCGGTAAGCCCTGCTCGCTGGCAGCGTTTGCATCCAGCCACTATAACTGAATGTGACAAGTCCAACCCATCTACTACTGCTTCGCGCCAATGGATGAACTTCCGAGCCTATGGAAATGCATCCGACATGGTACCACCGTCTCCAACATTCAATCTTGTGAGACCAGTGGCTCCACGAGTTCCTTCCAAGGACGCAATGTTGGAGCAGGAGACAGGTATGCAATTTGACTTCGTGAATGTGGCGGCGAAGCCATGGGAAGGGGAGACGATTCATGAGGTAGGATTAGATGATCTTGAGCTCACGCTGGGAAGTGGAAACACACAGATTTAAGTGATTTATCATATTATAATCGAGATTCATCATCTTCTTTGTAGAATGGGAATACTTTGCCCACATCTATAACGACTTTATAGACATTTTACCAAGTTCTGTTGATGCATAAACATGTTAATTACAAGTCTTCTGATACATTCATGTTTTGCTCTTGTTTCTAGTACAAATACATTTTGTTGCTAATAGGCAGAAGCACAGGACAAATATTGAAATCAAATAACAAATGTAATTCTCTAATAGATGACAAATGTAGAATCATATCACAGTTACACCAATATTAGTCATAGTGCAGACATATACACCAAGCCAAATCCTAAAAAGAATTTTACAATTTTGAACAAAGAAAACATAACACTGCAAAACATTCAGTTACCATACCAGCACACAAGAAACACTAAATGTGGATCCTAGAACAACAAAGACGACGGTGTTTTCAGCTGTTAGATTAAAATAGCATACAGAAGTTGGCTGTAAGTTATACCTAGACTCGATTTCTCCTCCATACTGAGCTTCAAGTGGTGAGGACTGGTGAGTTACAGCATGTTTGGTAGGAACGAATGAATAGTACTAGACAGTATTAAGGAATTTGTTATACAGTTAAGGGTCATGTCAAATACTCCATACCAAACCTACAATTACAGTTCACGGAGTTTTGACGCAATGAATGTGCACATCGTTGTCTCAGCTTCCCTTGTAACTTCTGTCTTTTCTAGTTGGGGCGTTGAATTCTTTTTGAAATCCATGTTACATTCATCATATCTGAAGCATGTGGTGAGATGATCGTTAACTAACCCAGCTACTTGCATGAACGAATACACAATAGTAGGTCCGACGCAGCAGAAGCCCCTTCGCATCAGATCCTTGCTTATGAGTTCTGATTTTGGTGTTTTAACTGGTAGTTGACGTGAATAACGGAATCCATTTTTCAAAGGTTTGTGGTTCACAAAACGCCAACAATAATTACTGAAGGATCCGAACTCCTGCTGGATCTACAAAAACAAAAAATTGGATGTGGAAGTGAGGAAAATTCTCATGGTTCAGATTTTAATGTTTTGACAAGAAATTATAATGTTTTTCACAAGAAAGTCTCTCTACACAAGACTAGATATGCATGTTAATAATAACATAGAATATGCACCACTTTTACTGTCCTAGGATCCAAACACGCTCTAGGCATTTGAGGAGGAATTTCGACCACCGATCCAATTTTAGTAAACTGGGTATCTGATTTTTGAAGAACCGGTATGTGTTAGACAAATTTTGGTCAGTTTGATTGTATTGGTCTATTAGAGCCACCCAAAACATTTTGATATTTTACCCTTTGGTTTTTAAGTAAACCTATCGGTTCGGTTCAGGTTGAACAATCCCACATACAAGTTTAAGAGGATCAAAAGAACACAGTTTTATTACCTTGAGCAGCTGTTTCGCATTTTCCACGATTGCACGAAGTTTAGGTTCAGATAGCAATGTGTTACCATTCATTTTCATCAATAGCAATTTCTTCTCATCAAAGTTTGCAACTGATGACGGATCAAATTCATCAAAAATCTTTCTACAAAAGCAATTCATTTATGATGTCAAACACCCACACAAAAATACACAAAGGAGTAAAAGCAAAAGTTAAATGGGAAATTAAACCTAAATGTTTCTCTCTTGCTGAGGATTGCCAGCCAGTTGAGTTCTGCCAATGCTTGTGATAAAACAAGTAGCTCAAAAAGCTTCATATCATCATGAACAGGGACTCCCCATTCCTCATCATGGAAAGAAGTATAAAGTGGTTCTGCAAGGTAAAATATCAAAATGAGCAGGTAGTTCTTAGAGGTATTTAAGCAACAAGCAATTTTAATTGTGTTACATTTCTTTTTCTTTGCACTATTCATTCTTTAGATGTAAGAATTTAATTCTATATTTTCACAGCATTTCTATACGTGTTTCGCAGTTGGAAATTGCATTAGAATAAAGATACCAATATGTTATATTTATTAAAATTTCAAACTGACAGATTAAAAAATAAGGAAAGACTATCGTGTCAATTCTAACAGGCAATGAGGGCTCCCATAAGATGAAACGAAAATATACTCCAAATTTCAAAATCTTATTTTGATTTTGTCAAAACTGAGTCATGAAATACTTGTAATGCTTCACATACTTGGATGTACGTATTTGTAATCATAGAAAGATGCGAACTTAAAGAGAACTTTCACTGAACAAGGGATATTCCATATCATCATAGTTTTTAATTGTTGATATGGAAGTAAACCTTGCTACCAAAACATAAATTTATAAGGTCACTTTGAAAATGCAATTTCTTAACAACGGTTAAATTACATGTGCAAATTGATTGATGTATATAGAATCAAGATTAACCAAAACCTTACATCCACTTATGTCTCAATATCTCATTCATTTTTGAGGCTTTTCCATACATTTAGCGCTTGTTTGAGCTTCATTTTGGAAGAAAGAATGCATTTTGGAATAATAAATTGATGGAGAATATGTTGTTAAAAATTAAGGAAAGTTTTGGATTTGCGTGTAATATTATTTTATTGAAGAATGTGTGGTTGAAAATGAGTTTTTAAAAAATGAATTTTAAGAAAAATGGAGCTCAAAAAAGGGCTTAATTTCAAAGTTTGATGGCCATCAACATCGTACAATAGTAACCAGATCACTGCTATGTTGCCAAGATCTTATTTATGTTAGCAAATTGCAACCGTTGCAATGAACAGACAAGTAGAGTCGTCCACTAATTATGCCCATATATATTTCGCACTCGGTTACTCGCTTCGTTAGAAGAAAAACAAAATAAAATAGATTTCACATTCATTCTTCTTTCGTACTTCTATTCTAGTTTTACCAGCATTCATGTAAAATCATTATACAATCAATTCTCTGATATAAATTGTGTTGACTAGCATGGAATTGAGGTCTTAGAATTAAATTTAAACTTGAAATGATCTTTCACAAATTCCAATTCTGTGCAACCAAACATAGCACGAAAACAGTGTTATGAATCTCACACTTAACCTAGGGTAGTAACTTAACCTAAGAACTTCAGCAAATTCAATTAATTCGATATCTAAACGAGATATTATACTTGTTAGTGATTAAGCAAACAAAAAAGGATTTCTATGGTGAAAGCGTGCCAATCAATCTGTATCTCACGTAGGAATTAGGCTTCACAGAGTCCAACATTTTCGTGGGTTAATCAACTTTCTTCATCTCCACTAGAAAAGTTTACAAACAAAATCTTCCAAAAATGTAAAATTGTAAAACCTTATAAAAAAAAAACCTTAAATTACAGTAAAAAAATGAAAAATTACCGGAATTCGGAGTGATCCAATCGCAGCGTTTAACAGGAGCCGGAACCATTGGAGAGATAGCCAAAGCTTCAACTCCATTAGGCACAATTTTGGCAGGTTTAACAATACCATTACTATTTCTCACATTCCTTCTTTTTGAGCACAAACTTTTTGTACTTTTTGCAGTTGAGCCACTGCAAGAAGAAGAAGAATCCGAAGAACTATCAGCTGAAACATTGTTCAGTACAACTGCAACAGCAGCACCGCCGCTGCGTCTCGGTAGCGTCTGTGAGGTTACTCTTTTAGGCTTCTCCACAGAGTTCTTTGATTGTATTTCCCTTTTCATCCTTCGTTCTTCCACGACCCGAACCCGGTTACCCGTCGGTGCAAGTATAGGCCGGGTTTCGGATCCAGGGTTTTCAATGGCCGCAGACATTGCTGGGTTGCTCTGAAATTCAGAGTAAATTGTTTGTATTACAGTGGTGCGAGCGAAAGGGTAAATTAGACGAGAAGTGGAGGGTAGAATTGGAAGAAAAAGTTTGCAGGGAAGTGATGAAAATGTGGAGGGGTAACGTTTTGGAGGGTTATAAATAACGGGAACTGTTCAGATATGGTGACCGGTAATAGCCAGTGGTGATGCTGACGTGTCGGGTGGTTAGTTGCCGTTTTGGGATGCTGAAAGGGACATTAGGCTGAGAACTTTTTGTGATGTCTCGATTTTGCCATTGTCGAAGTTCAAAATTCAAATTCATTTCTTTTATTTTTTCATTTATTTCTTTGTTTAAGAATTTTCTTTTAATTTTTAAACAAAGATAAATCATTAGAGACAACGAGGCAGGGCGGAACGGCCTCTCGTGTTTCCTATCCCACCGAAGATTTTCAAGGGACGGGATAGGATTAAAATATCTAATTTTTCGCCTTATTTACTTTTATTAGATTTTTTTTAAAAAATTTAAATACAATAAAATTTTAATATAGAAATAAAATAAAATTTGTTCGATAGAGATTAAAATTGAAAAATTAGCCGTTATTATTGACTTTTATTATACGAATGAGAATTTTAATTGAATTTTAAGTTTAGCCAAACATGCTCTCAATATATTTTGTTATTTCTATACACTAATATTCATTAACAACCTCATATAAAAATATATTTTACATTTTTTCTCTCTTTTAATTAAAAAAAATTGTATATCGATATAACAATATCATTATTATAGGATATACAAATGATATATATTACCTTTTCTTGAGAATGTGTTATGCCTAGAACTTGAGAAAAAAGAAGTAGAGATAATAAAATTTAGTCTATTTGTGTAGTATAAATTAAATTTCTAAATAAAAGAATTTATTTTTAAATTTGTTATTAACTAAAGCTCACATGTACGTGTGTTACACACTTAAATCGACTAATGTAATGCTCAAAAGAAAAAGGAAATCAAAGAATACAACTAAAAATCGAGACGTGTATCGTAATTGAGAGATGGTTGCATCATTCATCATTCTCGAACAAGAACACAAAATAAATCTACACTATTGGTAGGGGAAAAAAAATCATATTTTTCTTCAAAATAGCATTACAGGCATATCAACTTTATTTCAGATGATATATGACACAAAAATGTTAAGGACATATGTGATGCTCAAAATTAAATATGGTGTGGTGTCTCTTATTGTCTTTTATTTTTCTAGACAGACGTTACAAACGTAGTCGGATAAGATTTCGACCCATAACAATTCTTAGGTCAAATATAAGCTGTTAACTTAAACATATGTAATTACATTGAAGTTAACAAAATACAATATCAAGGGGGGGTATATTTGGAATTGGAGTGAAAACGGAAGGTGAGTGGCAGTTGAAGGGTTTAGGCTAAAAGTCGCATTTCAGTCGGTTAGAAGGTTAAATAGGAAGTCGTTAAAGCGCCTTTGTTTGGTAGTAGGTTTCTTCCCGTTGAGATAAAGAATCCAAAGCCAAAAAGTGCACCAGCAACGGCTAAATGACCCGGTCTACCCATGTCGATTTGTTGGATTAGGATACGGGTCCATATTGAAGTCGACTCAGTTCTAAGCCGATTACAAAAATCAAGTAAAAATGGTAT